TCATCTTTTACATTTTTCCAGACTTTGTTTAGTTTTGGAAATGGAATAAATTATATTCCACCTTCTAAAGCAGGACTATTCAACTAATCTGCTCAGGGGGACACAGTTACTGAAAGACAGCAGCTCAGGGACCGGACATCCAGCAATTAAAGTCATTATGTAAATAAACCAAGGATTAAAATGATCTGTTACCTTTTAAACTTGTACAGAACCCAAACACAAAACCACAGTCCCCCCCCCCCCCTCCACACACACACACACACACACACACAATTTTTTACAACTTTATTTTTCAGGTGTATTGAGTTAAAATTTAAGAGGCTAAACTCACCACTGACCCACACACCAAAACATTATCACCTTCAGCAGCGGACGGGAATAAGACATGCTGCATAATTTTGATTAATCTGCTTGTGTTGTACGCGGCGGTTAATCTCCACAGGAAAATCTGAGATGCATTTCTCACCGTTTTCATCATTCTACCTCCCTTCACATAGGTGTGAATATCAACCCAAAGCAATATTATGAAGCTAATTATAACATAAGGAGTCGACATTTGATTTCCCACCTTTACAAATTTGTACGGTCTTCCTTCCGACAGCGGTGGCAACGCTTCAAAGAACAGCTGAGACTGCTCTATAAACTGTACCTAAAGAAGCGGCGACATGAGTGATTACAGGCACCCACGCACACGTAATTATCACAATTTGTTTTTACACCTTTCCCAGAATTCAGTCACACAACGGAGTGCAAAAGCAGAGGCGTGGCCCCGGAGAGAGGAGAGGATGCAGCTCTCATTCACCGCTCATCACTCAGCTGCCTCTGCTCCAGTAAATTCAGCTGAGACGTGCGTGAATAGATGTGAAGCCCTTTATTGATGTGCAAGCAGGAGGGTCCTCGCCTAGTGAAGAGGAAATGTGAGCCAAATTGTTTATATTTAGGAACAAGATGCATAATTTCAGGATTAGTCTCCCAACCCACTGATTAAAAAGAAACAAAGGGAAAAACACATACAAGCCTCGATCTTGTTTTCATTTGGTCAAATGTCATTATGCACGTGGGTTTTCCCACCTACACGATTAGCATGTTTCCTTTTCTCCTCTGCTTTACGTTCAGATTCTGTCAGAATTTTCAACCAGTTCTACATCTGTTGGGAGCCTTTAGGAGGAAGAACTAAGAAAATAAATAATAAAAAATTGAAAGGGCAAAGGCTGCGCTTGATATTTGATACTGGATATTGTTGCCTTGAGCTGTCACTTCTCACATCAAGCCGAGAGTCAGAATGTAACTAGAGATTTTTCTCCATCCCTTTGTTTTTAATATCACTTAACTTTCAGTATCTAACCCAGTTAAGACGTCCAAATGATATAAAATAGAAAAAATAGTCAAATTAATTCATCAAATTAAATTGGAGTGTTTTTAATTTTGACAACACACTTGCTATTTTTGGATTATATGTCAAAGCATAAGAAAAAAGACAAGTGAAAATGAGCGGAAGCTTTAAACAAAGTGAAAACTCTTTTAGTTTGATTTTTATTTGTTTATTTTATTGTATTTTTTTATTTTGTTTGGCAGAATGACTTCTGAGGGATAAAGCTGTCTAATACACCCTGGACTGCCTCCACTTTACCGCCTTAGGAAACAATGCCTGTTCAAACAAACCTTTGAGCTGTCTGGGGGGGCCGCTCTTTTCTGTCTCACCATCTCACGACTCGGCATTCAAAAGATAAAGACACACACGCAGACAGACTTTGCTTTTTTCCAGCAAGCTGCGTCCTTATTTGTTACGTCTAGTTAATTCTTCAGACAGAAGAAGAAACACATCTGGCTCCCAGAGGGATTGTTACACCCTCATTATACCTCCCAGTTAATGTGTTGTTTTTTCTTTTAAGATTCAGAACCAAAGTGAACTTCACACTTTTAAACATTATTTCAGTATTGATGTAGTGCCATCTTCAAAAAGTTCGTCAGCATTGTGAAGGTTTTCATAAAAACTTGACAGCATTCATAAAAGTTCAATAAAATCTGTATCTTTCCACTTTTTATGCACAAGCATTTGACAGCTTTTAACATTTGGACTTAAAATAAAGTAAAGAGTTTTGCCTTTCCCATGACATTTTGGGGTAAAAAAAACAAAAAAACATACAAAATATAAACTAAAATTAGACGTAGCATAGCAGCATAAGTATTCCTGAAACACATGTTGGGGCAACATTATGCACTGTGTGTGTGTGTTTTGTTTTAATGTGTGTGTAAATGAGCAAAGGCAAACAGAGCAGAAGAGCTATTTTAGAGTGAAAACAAGAGACAAGTATAGGTGAAGTTGAGCGAGAGGCCCAGGCAGGTGAGGATGTCAAGCATCCCTACAGCTGCATGTCACACTAATGGGCTGTGGCTGCTTGACCCTCCTGACCTCCAGCGTTATAAATGACTCATGCCAGACGTCAGGTGTCTGCTCACACGTTCGAGGTAAAGTATAAGCTTCATCAGTAACAACCAAAAAGGCCAAAAGGAATTCAAATGTTTAAGTTAGGTTTTGTGGCAAAGCTGTGAACAATTGAAAACTTGCTTGATGTAGTTTATTGAACAACCTCAGTTTAGAGAAACTGAATTTATATTGACTAGATTTACAAGCTATTGACTTATCTGAGTTAGAGTTGCATTCGGGCCTAAAAAATGTGACCAGACCGGGCTCCAGCCCGTACTCATTTTTTTCTGAACCCGACCGGACCGACTAATTACCTGTAATTACATGAACCGGCAAAAAAAAAAAAAAAAAGAAGCATTTTTTTATTAAGCTTTTATTGCTTTCGAAAGCAAACCAGTTTTTAAAAAACTATTTCAAAGAAAGGAAGATATAAGATTTCTTGTTTGGTAACAATTCACCAAATGTATATTAACATACAAAACAAGTAGCATAAAACCAGTACGCGATACGTGGGTATATGGATTATACCCACTAAAAAAGCTTAAGAATTTCAGTATACCCATTTAAAAGTGCCCATTGATAGATGACATATCATTAGATACATATCATTGATTTGTTAAACGGCAGTTAAACACTTCCGTAACAATATATCTATACGCAGCACTTATTTATTATATTCAGTATATCCATCAAATTATTGTATAATTCTGTATTTACTACTTAATACATGAACATGTTTTGCTTTGATACTGTTTTATAAATTCTATAACATGTTTTTAATACAAAGCAAAATGTTGTACAAGGTTTGTTGTACATTTATACAAATATAAATTTGGAAATGTTCATTATGCTAAAATAAACTGACTATTACATTGTACTAACCAGTGTACTTTGGTTTCTAAGCACAGTATACCCATTATAAAAATATAGACTACACCACTGCCTAAAGCAGTGTTTTTCAAAGTGGGGGCCGCAGCCCCCTGGGGGCTGCCAGGGGGGCCCATAAAGCTGGAGAGAAAGAGATTAAAAAATAGTAATAATAATAATAATAATAATAATAAATTGCCCACTATGGCAATCTGTATTTGTCATTTCCAGATAAACACGTTTGAGGGAGAGGTTAGATTTATTTTGTTTTGTTCTTCTGGTCAACAGTTTGTTGAAAAGTTGTTGTTTTTTTATGTGGGAATATAATACAATGTTTTAAATGTTAGTTAACATTTTTATGCTCAGCAGCTGTAATAATTAATTGAAAATAGTGAATAAAAGTTTTAACATTCTAAAAGTTCTTTACATATTTTGTAGCATTGTTTGTGGGTTTGCGAGGGGGTCCTCGGCCAGAAGCTAATGCTGATAGGGGGGGGGGGGGCACGGCATAGAAAAGTTTGGGAACCCATGGAAAATCAACTGTAAAGATAGGCTATCATGAACAAAAATATTTTTAGAGCAAAATTATTTGTAAAAATATAGAACAAGGCTATTTTAATTGATCGCGCTGAGCGCTTCGGCTTTTGTAGCTTCAGATGCTGCTACTTCCTTCATCGCAGATGACAGCAGGTGCAGATACGCACGTGGCCGGTGATCAGCTGATCCATCTGAAGTTTAACTGGACATTTTTTTTATCTCTTTCAACCAGCCGGTCAGACCTGCCTCCTCCTCTACAAGTGGATTACCACAGTTTTATATTGTGCATTCTTATTTAGTTGTCTTTGTGCTGTATGAGTTGTAAAACCGCATAAAAAGCCCAAGACTGACCCGGCCCACCCATCAAGCACATTATGTTGGCCCGACCCGAGGCAGCCACAACCAATTTGGTCCAAAACACTAAAGTTAAAGCTCAATAATCCATGTAATAAAAATCCTAATCAGAAAAGTTGACAGGGGAGAGAGCGGGCCCCAGAAAACATTTTATCACCAGCAAATTGGTTGGTTCATTAGAGTGTGCTGTTTATGGGACTGAGTTTGTTTGTGGCTTCTTGGACTGATGAAGTCCTTTGGATGAAATATCCATCCATCCATCCATCCATTATCTTTACCCGCTTATTCCATTTTGGGTCACGGGGGTCGCTGGTGCCCATGTCCAGCAATCACTGTGCGAGGGGCGGGGGACACCCTGGACAGGTCGCAAGTCCATCACAGGGCCACATAGAGACAAACGAGACAAACAACCATTCACTCTCTCACTCACACCTAGGGACAATTTAGAGTTACCAATCAGCCTAACATGCATGGTTTTGGTCTGTGGGAGGAAACCGGAGCACCCGGAGAAAACCCACGCATGCACGGAGAGAACATGAAAACTCCACCCAGAAAGGCCCCTGGACCGGGGTTTGAACCAAGGACCTGTTCGCTGAGAGGCAGCAGCTCTACCAGTTGCGCCACCGTGCTGCCCACTGGATGAAAGATGAAACGTAAAAAGTAACGACCAAATTACCTGACTGAACGATGTTGGATTTCTTACCTGGATTATTAAGCATGAACTTTGGAAACTATAAATCACTAACAAATTTATATTTGTTTCATTCCTGCTATGTTTATTAATGTCATTGTATTTTTTTCTTGTCTTCTGCAGCTCCGGTGTTTTACTTTGCGGCGGTTGCATATCATGTTGATGAGAGTGATGGGTACGTAGAGATCAAAGTGTGGAGGACAGGAACTGATCTGTCCAAAACTGGGACTGTCACGGTTCGTTCTCGTAAGTCAGAGCCCGCCTCTGCTGAAGGTAGGTTCCCAGCAGCTACTGCTTCAAAGGTAATTGTTTACCAGTGATCATCCCATGTCTGTGTCTTGTGTGTTTCTTCAACCCTCTTTTCTCCAGCTGGTGTTGACTACGTGGGCATCAGTCTCAACTTGGACTTTGCCCCAGGCGTCAGCATGCAGACGTTTAAGGTTACCATTCTGGATGATATGGGACAGCCAGAGCTGGAGGGAATTGAAAGCTTCGAGCTGGTCCTGCGAATGCCAGTGAACGGTATCCTGGGAGAACCTGGAAAGGCCACAGTCTTCATTAACGACTCTGTGTCTGACTGTAAGTGATCTGGGTTTGCCTGGGAATAATTATTTTTTGCTCGGCTTATTGTAAACAGTTAATAAATGAGCACTTCAGTGTCCATTTTAATCTGAAGTAATAACTCTAACACCAATCACTTACCCAAACAACAGAGCTGGTTATAAAAATGTCCCAATAGACTTTTCAAAGAGGCGAATACAAGCCGAGAACAAGGTGACAGGAGAACTCAGACATAAAGTGAAATGTGCACCACCACAGATTAATAAGTCAGAAGTTAACACAAATTATAAGGTCACTGATCTTGTTCTTATTCTTCTGTAGAAGTATCAAATCTCAGTCAGGCTTCTTAAGAGCAAACGTTATCTTCTGTGATTTGTTATATTGCCTGTAAAAAGTTGAAGAATGTGTCGGCACATTGCCTATAGATTAAAACTCTATAGGGAGTAGATTTAGCCGTTGATTTCATCCACAGAGATTTAAATGCTCAATCGTACGTATCATTGTTGTCTCCAGGCCTGACGATGATCACCACCTGACACTTGCTTCAGCTGTTTGCAGCCTCACATTGTTTTCTTGTAGTGAAACGTCCTGACAGTCACAGGATGAATTGCTGTGACATTTGGTGATGATCATTTGCCCAGAGAGCTTCACGATCCACTAATCCTTTTATTTGTTACCTGCAGCTCTTCACATATCCTCTGAAATATGTCAACATCTCCTCAGTGGCTCTGCAAAATATTGTTTCATTACTCCTTCTTAATAAAAATCTGACAGGTTTAGTGGTCTATAACTATTGAAACCTCTATAAGAGAATTAGCTCTAAACTTGTCTTATCTTTACCTATCCACTGTACTTTCTATTTAATTCTACAATTTTGATGCGTTGTGCAAAGTTCAGTAGCTTTATAATAAATATGTCAGAGTAGCAAACTCACCTAAGCAGCCAAAAGAACCCTTCGTTAAGTCACTTTAAAATACAACATTTTTTTGTTTACTTGTATCTTTCCGACAGATGTGAGTCAAAGATCTTCTTGTTATTGTTGATTTGCAGCTGTCATATTTAAATATTGTGTCAGGGTGAGAAATAGTGTTTTCTGACTCTTTTATTGCTTTACCGAAGCTGATCTAAACCCCTGTTTAGTTTATTTATGAACAAAAAAACAACAATAAAAAAAATGAACTATGAAAAAAATATACACTCATAAAAAAAAGATGCATGCCAGATTTAGCCGATGGGTAATTTTCCTCTACTGGCAGGTAAACATAAAGTATAAATAAATACTGGTATATAAATAAAATAATATATAAATCATTAAGTTAAAATGTTGAAATGAAGTGACAAAAATACAAATAAAATGTTTTCAAAATGACAAAGCAGAAACTCAAAAATGAAATAGTGCTCCCCCACTCCATCTGCACTCATCCCTGATTCAATTACAGCTATCACATTTACTCCATGGTATGTTTTTTAAAGATTTCACAAGATGGCATAATGCAAAATGTTAAAATGTGAAGTATTTAAATTTAAATTAATTCCAAACAACTTTTAAAGCAGAGGATGATGCTCGTGTACGTACGCTATAAACTGTCTGAGCAGCACTTCTGCACTTTAGAGTTCCACTGCACAACATTGCAGGACGTTACTAACATTAAATAGGGATGGGGGGATGGGTGGTGCAGAGGTTAGAGAAGATGAGTCAGAGAGCTGGTGGTCACAGGTCAAATCCCCCGACCATTCCAACAACAACAAAAATAAAAATGGTTGGAAAAGGTGAAGCGCCCACACCTGCCTCCACCCTCATTCATCCCTCTGTGGGTCCTTGAGAAAGACCCTTAACTCCTCCAGCTGCTCCCCTTGGATGATAGCCCTCTGCTGCAGCTTGGTGACTGCTGGCTGCATCAGGAAGGGTTTCCAACAAAAACAGTTCTAAATCTTTATGTGAGTATTCTCGCTGTGCGGAGCCCTGAAGAAAGGAGCAGCTGAAAGGAAAACAATAAGATTAACAATAAATAAGTTTTTGAAGATGAAGATCAGTTCCTCCAAATCCGAGGCCATGGTCTTGAGCCGGAAAAGGGTAGAGTGCCCTCTCTGGGTCAGGGAGGAGGTCCTACCCCAAGTGGAGGAGTTCAAGTGTCTTGCGGTCTTGTTCACGAATGTGGGAAAAATAGAGCGTGAGATCGATAGGCGGATAGGTGCAGCGTCTGCAGTGAAGCAGGCGCTGTACAGGTCTGTTGTGGTGAAGAGAGAGCTGAGTCAAAAGGCGAAGCTCTCAATTTACCGATCGATCTACGTTCCCACCCTCATCTATGGTCACGAGCTTTGAGTTGTGACCGAAAGAATGAGATCTCGGATACAAGCGGCCGAAATGAGTTTTCTCCGCAGGATGTCTGGGCTCTCCCTTAGAGATAGGGTGAGAAGATCGATCATCCGAGAGAGACTCAGAGTAGAGCCGCTGCTTCTCCACGTCGAGAGGAGCCAGTTGAGGTGGCTCGGGCATCTGTTTAGGACGCCTCCTGGACGCCTCCCTGGTGAGGTGTTCCGGATACGTCCCACCGGGAGGAGACCCAGAGGAAGACCCAGGACACGCTGGAAGGACTATGTTTCTTGGCTGGCCTGGGAACGCCTCGGGATTCCCCTGGAGGAACTGGACCAAGTGGCTGGGGAGAGGGAAGTCTGGGCCTCCCTACTTAGGCTGCTACCCCTGTGATCCGACCCCGGATAAGCGAAGAAAATGGATGGATGGATGGATGGATGGATGGATGGATGGATGGATGGATGGATGGATGGATGGATGGAGGAATGGATGGATGG